CCTTTGATCTGGGGCCTCCTTTGGAAATCTCCATAGGTTAAAGCATGCCTGCTTATTTGAGGAGGTCATGGTGGAGGCCTGAGTCTGTTAACTTATTTGTGAATCTACAGGGGAATAAGAACTCAGAGGGAGATATAAAATAGACCATTCATATGCACCAACATTCAAGAGAGAAAATGGATGAAGTGAATGGACCCAACAAACTTCATTTTCCTGGTTTCACCTCTTATACCCTGAGCCAAAGCTCTCGATGTCAGAGAAAGAATTATCTCAGAGTCAAAGGGATTTATCACAGAGACAGACAAAACTCTTACAATAGTGATTACATGTTTCGGTACTAAGCTGAACATTTCTTTATCTAGTTTTGTATTCCAAGATACAAAGTAAATTTAGAATGATAATATTTATGACATAAGCAAACAAAGCATACAGAATTACAGTGAAACAGTCTGTATTTTTGACATTAAGGTTTGTACTTAATTTAGACATTTCTTGGTAGCCCCATTTTATTCTAGGTACAAGTTAAAACCAACTTACCTATATTTATGGAGTGTACCAGGATTCATGGTGTCATCTCTAGAGTGAAATCTTATCCAAAGTCACAAATCTGCCTCAAGCCTGTCTCCTAGTGAGGCATCTGGAGGTCCACAAAAATATTTATTGCAGCTATGAACTTTCTATCCACTATTTAACTTCTAAAATTGTTTGAATCAAATCAGAAATTCCATAATCAGGAATTAATTCCCCTGAACAGCAGTGCATCGTCATAAAGATCCCATAAAAGTGGGTAAATATCAAAAAAGTGAGGTTTCACAGAATGCCAGATTTTTGAGAGATATGACAGCAAAGAAAGAAGGGTGTCAGAGACTGGAAGCAATTTTGGGATGCATCATGGTAAAGACCTTGTAAAATACCACATTACCTTCCAAAAGGCCCACATGCCTGCTGAACTTCCCGATTCAGTGGCTCTTGGCCGGTGTCCTGCTCAGGTCCCCTCTTCTTCCCTTTCTCTGTTGATATAAAGGGGTCTGTGAACTCCTTCTATGTCAGAGATTAGGTTTTTGTCTCTTACCAGCAGGAGTAAGAGTGGGAGTCCTAACCTTCTCTGCTCTGTAGTGTGAAAGTTACAAAAAGATGCATTGCACGAAAGGGATCGAAACTCACTCCTGGGGACAGAAAGTAGAAAGAAATGGAAATGTGCTGCTTATTTCTGGGGCAGAAATCAATAAAAAAAACCCAAATCTTCAAACTGTTATGTTCTCCCTTCTTCCATCCTCGAGGCCCTTAGACGCTGGAAACACAAGCCACCAAGCCTTGCTTGCTGAATCAGTGACTACATTGAGATTCGTTACAGGAGAATAAATAAGTGGTTCATTGATAGCAGTGTGGGTAGTTCAAATGATGCAGTGTCACTGAGAAGCCTACTCCTGTGTGGGTGACTCATGTAGTTGCATCTTCAGAGCTTCCTGCTTTGGCTGAGGTGGCTTTCTCATCTCCATCCTCAGAAATGACACGCTGTTTATACAATCTTAGGACCTTCATGTATCTTGAAACTTTCATAGCTTTCTGAACTTTGTTTCTTAGTTTTCCGAGTCTCCTTCCTTCCTCCAGTGGAGGCTGTTTCAGTTTAGGTGAAATAGCTACCCAATAATAAAGAAGGAGGACAGAGATACATCAGAGCTCACATATTATTTGGGCCAAATTTCTAACCCTGTTCCAGTTTGATTTTCTGTTCTAGTTGTAAACATTTTCACCAAAATGCAACTTGGTGGAGAAATTAGTTCATTTTCTTTAGCAATTTCAGGCCACAATCTATTATTGAGGGAGATCAGGGCCAGAACTGAAGGCCAGGAACCTGGAACCAAGAAAGAACATAGCTTACTGGCTCACTCACTGCTTCATTTTCAGCTGGCTTTCTCAGGCCCACCTCCCTTGGGATGATATTTCTCTCAGTAGGCTGGGCCCCTCGTATGAATCATCGGTCAAGACAAATTCTCACATACACGGCCAAAGGCTATATGATTGAAGCAAATTTTCAGCTGAAGCTCCCTCTTTTCAGGTGAATCTAAGAAGTGTCACGTTAAAACTACTCAAGGCAGTGTCCATGTGTCCAGTTTAAATTTGATTTACAAAAGAAGGATTTACACTCAAAGAGTTTAATTGATGGCCTTGTGAGAATTACGTGCGGTATGAAATGAGAGTATCCTCCTCCTCATTTTCCTGTTAGGTAAAACTGAGAAACTCATTAATCTTTTGTTTTTCTTCTCACTAGAGTTTTTAGGTGTAAAGGTGGAATTATTCTGAGGATTAAATCACGATTGATTAACAATGTCATAGGCCTAGAAACACGGTTTCTCTTTGACATAAGTGCTTCTGTATGTCTGCTCTGGTTGTGGGTGCGCTAGCTCCCAGGAATGACTGCCAAAGGCGCCCTGGGCACTTTCTGAGTCTTGGAAAGTGTATTTTTACTTGATAGTGGATGCGTACCTGCAGACCACTGATCCCTTAGTCAAGTTTCACCTGTCTCAGAAATGAACTCTGCTCATAGATTTAGTCCAATCTAATGGCACCAGCTCTTAGAATGACTAGTACAGCCCTCAAGTGCAGAGGGCCCAACCTTCAGAGCCTGGGAGCAGGCAAGTTCTAAGTTTCTAGCATTCTCTAGGGTGACCCAGTCCTTCCTTTTGACACATTTTATTTTAAAATTCCCTTTTAGTTTTTGGAAAGTTTTCCTGTCTTCCTTGTTAAAACCATAGAGCAGTACAAAGTGTGATTCCCTACATGTTTAATTAGAGCCTTACATTATTTTTTTCCCTTTGATGCAGGTTCTTGCTACATATCTCAGGTTCCTTTCAAACTCAGAATTTTCCTGCTTCAGCCTCATAGGTTAAGATCACAAATGTATGCCATATTGTTGAAATTTCATGGGTGAAACTTCATGCCAGGTCTAAAAAAAAAAAAAAAAATCACTAACAAGTGTGTCTTGGTTCATTGGTTCATACGATCTTTTCATCCTCCCTTCCATGTTGTATTCCATGACGTACGTTGTGGTTATCTAAACAAGACATGTTTCGAATGATCACACTAGTTGACATGCCAATATGGATGGGAAAATTTTCAGGAAGCCACAACCCTAGATGAAGAGTTATGGGCAATCATTGACTGAGAGGGAGATTTATTTTTCTCCAGTGACAAGAGTGGTCTGTCCTAAATATATGTACACTTAATAGACTCAGTTAGCTGTATGTGATTGATTTGTGTATAGATATATGTATTTGTATTTGTGTGTTATGTATACACACATATATGTATACATGTAGTTATAATTATTAGAAGTAGGAAAGAAGGTAAGTATTTTTGAAAATCCTTCATGGTCCCTCAATTTAACAACATCATTGAGCCACTTAGAATAGATGAACTGACTCTTTTCCTCATGAAAATTCTTTAGGAGCAAAATCCCCAGTGCTGTTTCTTTTCTTCCTCCTCCTCATTATTAACTCACTCCTGTCTACTTTTCCTGTTGACTGTACAAAGAGACCCAGATTTTTACATGGATTTTTACAGCCCAAAAAAAAAAAAAGATTGTAAAAGATTATCTAACTATTGTCCCCACTTGACATGGGCGATATGAATATGAAAAACTCATGACTTGTTAAAAGCCATGGGGCAGTGCCAAAAGTTTGACTTACTAAATAAACACCGATCCATATATTACATTTGAAAAGTTTCTGGATGACAAGTATGTCTTCATTTATTCTTTGGCTGTGATTTGCTCAGCAGGCTCTGGGAACTAGGCACTCTGTTTAGTATTGGAAATGGCAGCATGACTAATCCTTTGACTCGATGTCTCCTTGGGAGATGCTTCTAAATTTTGTCTTAGTTCATGCCATAGCATGGTGCTAGTTTCTAAGGGGCAAAGAATGATTGTTGGTATGAGTTTAAGTAGGTAAATTGCAGTAGATCAACAGGTATTGGGGAAGTGCCATGATTAAGTAGACAACAGCTTGCCTGGAAAGTGATGGGAGAGGTTTTGAGGATCTAGGGAGGTTGCCCTGAATGAGACAATGTAATCACATGAAAACATGCAGGTTTCCAGTGAGGGAGCCAGGAGTTCATACCTATGAAGTTACCAGGAATCTTAAAAATGGTTGTAGGTAGAGACTGGGATTTAGTGTACTTTTGGAAGTCTTAAAGGGGAAGCATCATGGAGACTGGCTCTCAGGGAGCTAGGTTTGTTGGCAGCATCAGGAAAGAGTAGTCCAAACAAGAGCTACTGAATGTGCTAGCATAGGCCCAGGCAGATCGTAAACACAGAAGTCTGTGAAGGTAAATGTAAGAGTAGAGAGCGATAGTTCTAATTCTTGTAGTGCGGGATAGCTTATGAAGTGAGGGTGAGAGGGTCAGTAGGCAGCTCGACAGTCCAGTGTGGGGAAGGTCCGAGCCCCAGTACTAGCTGGAGAGGTTGGAAAGTCTACAACTGTGTTCTTAATGTCTTCCTATGCTGCAGAAATACTTAGATGCTTAGATCCTTAGACCTTGGGGTTTCATTGCTGTGAAAAGACATCATGACCATTGTTAGTTCATAGATCTTGATGTAGTAGCCCACTCCCAGGTTGCTTAGGTACCTGTGATGTCATCATTGGTTGACGCCCACAGGGCCCAGTGATATAAGGACCTCTGCCTCTTACCTCTCTCTGTTCCTCTCTTGCTCTCTCTCCCTTCTCTGTTGGGGCAGCCCTCCCCCACCATGTCTCTCTCTCTCCCTCTCTCTCTCTACTCCATCTCCATCCAGTAAATATCTTTCATACCAGATCTGTCGTATGCATGGCGTACTTTAAAATAAATCCCAACAACCATGGCAACTCTCATAAAGGAAAGCATTTAATTGGGGCTGGCTTACAATTCAGAGGGTTTTGTTTTGTTTTGAATAAAGTTTTATTTTTCCAAATGTACAGTTGATTGAACCTGCTCATGCATCTCCACCAGCAGCAGGGGCATCTCTACCCTTTGTTTCTGGTGTAAATTGCCTGGGCTCTGTGCTTTGAAACCAGCTTGGTAAGTCCTTTACTAAGTAATTCCTGAAGGGCTGCCCTGGCCAAGGAACCAGGCATCTTCAGTCTCTCAGAGACCGCAGCTGGAGCAGTGAGCTCATAGCTGGGAACTTCCTTACAGAGTTTGTCAACCAGGACTAGGTTGTTGAGCTTGTCCTGAACTTTACCTTTGGACCACTTCTTTTTGGCTTTGCCACCAGACTTAGTTACTGTGTCTTTGTCTTTTTTGGCCAACTTTCTGGCATCCTTCTTCTTCTTGTCATCCTTGGGTGGCATGGTGAAGTTCAGAGAGTAGCGATGACCATGGTAGCTTCACTATGATGTCCCAGTTCAGAGGTTTAGTCCATTATTATCATGGTGGGAAGCACAGATGCATTCAGGCAAACAAATGCTGGAGAAGGAGCCAAGAGTTCTACATATAGATTTGCAGGCAGCCAGGAGAGAGAGAGAGAGAGAGAGAGAGAGAGAGAGAGAGAGAGACTGGGTCTGGCTTTGGCTTTTGAAACCTTAAAGCCCACCCTTAGTGAACATTTCCTCCAGCAAGACCACACCTACTCCAGTAAGGCCACACCTCAATAGTGCCGCTCCCTTTGAACCACTGTAATCCTCCATGTTAGTCTGCACATCTTTTTGGTCTTATCCCTCCACTTTGAGAAGTTAAACAAGAGAACAAGCTCATCATGACATGCTATGCTGAATTGCTCTTGATTGTGTTTTGGGTACAATGCAGGGCTTTCTGGGTACTGTAAAGTGCCTTTAGTGTGGTCAGTCTGGATACCACATGATGGCACCTGGCTTGGCTCTCCTTAGCCTGTTCTTCTCAGTGTGCTTGACCCTTGGAGGAGCTTGGCACAGGAGCTGCATGGTCCATATTTTTATTTTTATTTCTTTTACATTCTTTCTCCTCCAGTGTATGTGTTGAGGACAAGGAGGGAGACTGGGGAAAAGCAAAAAACACCTCCATGACTAGGAAAACTGCTAGCCTTGTTGATGTGGCTCAGCAAAGCGTGTTGACCTGAGCCCAGGGCCCAACGGACAAGCCCTTTCTTACCCCTGAGATGATACAGCTCAGTTGGATCCTGTACCTTTGTCTGGCCTTAGGTTTCTCATCCTTCAGGAGAATAGTATGGATCTTACTTAAACATCTCAGATTTGGCTAACAAAAAGTGCTTCATAGCTTTGGGGAGTGACTTCTTATTCAAAAGAGGGTGATGCTTAAATATCAAAGGTGTTTGCCAACAGTGGTGGCAATTAAGGGTTAGTAGCTGACAGAATCCCTTGTTTCTGTGTTTAGTTTAGATAGTATCACAGAAAAAAAAATGAGATGTGGGAAGGAGGCGATGGTGCTAGCAAGTACATCTCACTGAGAAGTTATTTCTGGCACATTCTCTCTCCCCTCTCAAAAACATTTGCTGAGAGTTACATTAATGAATTATATTAGGTATCTAGTTTTACTTCAGATTTCCCTTTCATGTTAGGAATTAATATTCATAGGTTACTGAAATCATCACAAATCTTAGTTTCTTTGTAAAGATAAACTTTAAATAGAATAAAATGCATATGCTAAGTGTTTATAGCTGTTAAGCTTTTTGGACACACTGTCCTGCTCTCCTTGGCTGTAGTAGTTTTGTCTTGATCGCTATTTTCCTTCTCAGTTCAGCCATACAAGTTTTCCTGTGTGCATTACTTGCATTCCGGGTGCTTTCTTTGACACTTTATTTGGCTTTTGGTTGAGTTTCAGTTAGATTACCTAGTACATTTCATTGTAATGTCCTTGCTCATGTTGTGAATGATGCTCTAACTTTATGTAACTTCTTTCTCTTTGTCCTAGTTACTTTCCCTTCTCATTGTAACATTTATTTCATTTTAATCTGAGCCAATGTTTACATTAATAAAATATGTTAGCTGTAACACTTTATCTTTTTAAATCATTGCTCTAAAAAAATCACAGCATAATATAAATTGTCATTTCTTAGAATTTTTATTATAAACTTTATGAATGCTATTACAATATGCTTTATGAATGCCATTATTTATTTATTTATTTATTTATTTATTTATTTATTTATTTATTTATTTATGGTTCAGGCCTGAAATTCTCAATCCTTCTGCCTTAGCCTCCTGAATGACACATGCTATATGCCATCATGCTGCTGAGAATTTTCAAATTACATTTATTTCCCCAGCTTTTTGTGTGTTGTGTCATATATTTTACTTCTGTATGCATCTTAGACTCAAGAGTGCAACATTAATCTCTTGATACAAAGTCAGTTTTCTTACTGAAATCAAGAAGAAAAGGGAAGGTTAGTGTCTCCAGTGTTCCTCCTTCTCCTTTGAAATTGGTATGATTTTCTACAGCTTGAAGAAATATCTCTTTCTCTCTCTCCATCCTATAGAAGGTCTATTAGTGGTGAGGTAATACACAGACACAGATGTACACACACAGGCACATGGGCATGCACTCCCCCCCGCCCCCACTGCATGGCATACAGAGAAAAAGACCCTTTATAAAGCAAAGTGGGGAAGTCAGGTCCCTTCTTGAGGTCTGGAGGTCTTCAGGGTCTTTTAAGGGTCTTATACCCCAGTTTAAGGTGAGTTTGAACCAAAACAGGGAGGCTGGTAGAGCCACAAGTTTGGGTTGAACAAATTCTGGTTTGGCCTTGAACTTCTTTGATGGTTCCACAGGCAGCAGGTCCTACTGACAGGGAAAAACAAAAACAAAACAGAACAAAAAACTAAACCAAACCAAACCAAACCAAAACGTTAGGCTTTTGTCTCAGATCAGGAGGGTGAGGAAGAAGGCAACCATTTTGGAAATGCACCATTCTTATTGTCTAGTCTTGGCTCTCTCCCTTACTATCTGCCTGTCAGAGACTCTATCCAACTGCTAGTCCCTCATTCTTTCCTCACATCCGGCAGTTTCTCTTTTGTGTGTAGATAAAGGAGACAAGCCTGAGATTCCGTATTCATGCGAAGCCTTTGTTTACCCCCCGAGGGAGGACGTAGGAGCAGGGTGAGGAGTGTTGGGTTGAGGGTCCTCAGTCACTCCAGGGGCAAAGATGACATTTCTGCCCATAATTGCTTCGAGGGGGACGTCCACTGTAGTCCAGATGGCTGCTCCTCTAAAGTTCCTTCCGTTTATTTTTCTGGCTGCTTTTATGGTTTTTCTTGTATCATTGGTTTTTCAATAGTTTGACAGTATTAGGTTATTTCTGATTTTCTTTGCATTTGTGGTTCACTGAGCTTTTTAGATCTGTGGATATTTTTCACCAAACTAAAAAAAAAAATAAAAAGAAAAAGAAAAAGAAAATCAGCCATTATTCTTTACAATATTTTCTTGATTCGTTCTTTTCTTTCCATTTTTACCTAAAAGCTGCACACCTTAGGCCAATTGGCATTATTGAAATTATCTTCACTGAAACTCTTTTATGCTTAGAAAGTATTTCATCAGTATTATTTAAATTCAATAATTAAAATAAATAGTCCTCAAGTTCAGGGTCTCTATTCTATTGTCTCTACTTCACTATTAGCCTGCCTTGTCCATTTTTAAAGTTTAAATATATCGCTTTTCAGTTCTATAATTGGTTTGGTAAGAGTTCTCCATCTATGTACTCATATGTCCATATTTCCTCTGGGCCTCTGAACATATTTATAATATCGTTTTAAAAAGTTCATTGCTAATTTCTATATCTGGGTCATCTCTTGGTCACTTTTCACTGACTGCTTATTTTTCTCTATCATGTCATGTTGTCCTGCTTCTTTATATGATTTATAATTTTTTTAAGGTGGCTGGAGAGACAGCTGTGGGTGCTGGGACCCAAACTCTTATATTTATGGTTATGAGCCTAGCTTTTAATAGCTGAGCCATCTCTCCAGACCATGATTTATAATTTTTATTGAAAATTCAGTATCAAAGGTAATTCCCCATATGGAATCTGGAGTATAGTGTCTTCCTCAAAAGGAAATTGAATTTGCTTCCAGTGCTGAGTTAAATGTCTTTCAGTCCTCTTGATCCCATCAAATATACTTTTATTTTATTTTAGGATGGTTCTCTCCGAGGCTCGTTTTTGGTCTTAGGGCCTGGTCTTAACCTTAGAAGTGACTTCCAAGATGTGGCCTCTTTGATAGTCTTAGTGTATGACTCAGGCCTCCACTGAGGACGCTCCAGCAGAGCACAGGTACTTCGCAGTCCCTCAGCAGGCTATGGCACCCGATGGCTTTGTTTATCTCTAGTAGATGCATTTAGGCATCTACTTTCTGATTGTCTGTCCTGCCAGCCTCACTCTACCTGTGCAGCCCAGTCTTAAGTCAAGGATCAAGGACCCGTAGAAGACCATGAAAGACCTCCAACGATACCCAGTCCTCTGGGGCACTGTCTCACTCCCAGACCTTACCCCAAGGAGTCCATTGGCTTTAGCAGGGGTAAGCGCCAAGGTCAAGCTTCTCAACTCTGGTCTTGGCAATGCAAGCTCTCCTTCCATGTGGAGAGTCTAGAGAATGTCCAAGGCTGGAAACTCAAGTCTACACTGGCTGTGTTTCTGGTCTCCTACTCTGTAATGGGTTGCTGTTTTGACCTACTCTGTGGAGTGCATGTGAGAGTTGTATGGCTGAGGTTCTCTTGTCCACATACTTTTGCTGCCACATCTGTATCAGGCTCAGCTTTTCAATATGTCACACAACTCTTGTTTCTTGGTCCTAGCACTGCTCTTTCTCCTTCATTTTTTCATCTTCACCCTTTCTTAATTCTTTCTCTTTTCAAAGTTTGCCTGATTGCAAGAAACGGGACACGGTAGCAGACAACACACAGAGTACTGTGCACATAAATGAGAACTACTTTTGGGAGTGTGAAAAGATTTTTCCAATTTGGAGTCTGACTTTAGGTCTCAAGTTCTCCTCCTGTCATCTTTGGGGCTGCCTTCTTCCCCACACAGCTGTCACTGGGTAGGCTAATGCATGGTAGACATTCTCTAGGCAGGCTTGTGATCTCCCTTCTTTCTGCTCTTCCCGGAGGCTGTCTATAAAGAGCCTGGTGTCAGGCTCAGGCCTGAAACGCACAGTTGACAGCTCACTTTCCACTGCTGAGTAGAGCAACAGTGTGCCAGGATCATTCATTACAGAGAGAGGGGTCAACTGAAGGGAGGGAAGTCTTCAGATTAGTTATTTGTGGCATGGTTTTCATGATAGAGCAGGCTGTGTAATCTCAGCTTACTTAAAATTCCTTTTTTTCCCAGTGTTTCTTACTTTGAAGCATCAAGATAATCACCTGCATATGTATT